AAATTATGGTATACACCCACGAATAAAACCATTCTTATTAGCATCAGCACGAAAAAGAATATCAGAAATCGTGAAACCACTAGGAGATCAAGTAAAACGTATACATACAGATGGCTTTATTGTAGCTGGAAAAGTAGAACTTAAAACGGGAATAGAAATAGGTGAGCTAAAATTCGAGAAAAAAGGAGTTTGTGTAGTAAAAAATTGTATATCAGTTACATGGAAACCGTCATATCCAGAAATTCCAAATTTGATTATTTTCAAAGAAAATGAGCTTCGCTCTACAAATAATTTACCAGATTTTGAGAAAATACAAGATAAAGAGCAGTTAACAGTAAAAAGGAAACTATCAAAAAAGTCTGATATGAATCTTACGAATGAAATTATAATAGAAATATTTCAACATTTACGAACACAAAATGAAAGATTATGTGGTAATAATGAATTATTGTTTCCAGTTTTATATGTTAACAAACAATGGAATGAATGCGCAACATATTTAATATGGAGAAGAATTACATTATATAGATATAATATTAGAAATTTTGTCGAATTAATAAAAAAGAAACCATTACCGAATGCGATAAAATATATAAAACAGATAGAATTCGAAAGAATAGATAATTATTTTAATATGAATGAATTTCAATTAGAAGACATTGTAAGTATATGCCAAAATATAATAACTATATCATTTAAGGATTGTGGTTGGGGATTTCTTAACAATAGCTCACTAAAGATGACATTGGATACGTGCAAAAATCTAAATCATATATTTATCTATGGAAGTAATCGATTAGCACCAAAAACTGTCTTAAGTATACCAGAAAAATGTACAAGTATAAAAACTATAAAAATACAAAATTGTGAACGAATAACAGATAAAATAGTAAATCAATTAGTGAGCAAATATCCGAAAATTGAAATTAATAAAATAGAAGTTGACTTACGAAGTGAGAATGATATTGCACCTCAAATATATTTGACGAAGACTAGTTTATGGTAATAGATGAGTAAGCTATAAAACTCATTTAGAAGATAACAGTTAACAAGAAATGATAATTTTTTATTAAATAATAAAACATGTATTAAATAAAACTTATATTATATAAAACAAAATACAAAGTATAAACCAAGTATGACAGACAATAGTTCAAGTTTAATAAATGAGCAGGGCTTAGAGTTAATGATGCAGGAAGCTATTACATGGAAAATGATTGAATCAGTACAGATTAAAATAATAAAAGAAGCCTTTCGTCTTCGATATAGAAAAGATAGTAAGCTTATTAGTGAATATGCTAGTTATGTGAAAAATTTGCGTAATGCAGAAAACAAAGATGAGTATATAAAATATACTGCTATAACTCTTTTTCCAAATGAAGAAGCATATAATAAAAGAATGACTAGATATAGAAAATGGTATCAAGGTAAAAAGGAGCTACTTACCAGTGTAGAAGATTTATATAATCTTTATTATAAGTTATCCAAAAAAGATAGATCTATGACTGAGACAGAAATTGAGGAAGCTGTTGAAGATGTACTTATAGACGAGTAGAGCAGAGCCCATTCTTTCAGAATAATTTAGTGGAGCAAGCACAGACACGAAGTGTTATTATTCTATAATAAGTACAAAAATTTAATATTGTTTAGCCACTATATGACTGCCTTTAGCAAGTATCCATTTCGGAGGATATTCAACTTCCTTAACTACCATCAATTGTTCTCTTACATATGATCTTTCGGGACTAACACCATTTTCATCTGTAAGCCAATATAACACAGGCTGATTTTTTTGTATTAGGGCCTTTTTAATATGGAAAACTTTAGGAGACCAATTCATATCAGTAATACGTCTATTGCCAAATTCTAATTCGCCAGGTTCAAGAAGATATCTTACTGAGTTATAATAAGTCAACCGAGGTTCGTCATATCCAATGGGTCTTCTATGCTTTATAGCTGGTTTCGCAAATATCTTCTCCCCCTTTAAAGCTTTTTTTACTGCTTCATTAGGAGACATACCTATCAATTTGGTTGGAGTATTATTAAAAGTATCATCATTGATACGAAGACTTTTAACCCATGCTCTAGACCTATCAGTCAAAGGTAAATGAAAATCTATAGCATCTTGACGAATAAAAGCATGTTTTTCAAATTCTTGATGATCACGCTCAGCTATAGCATTACTTTCTTTGGATTTTTTAGGATCAAAATATACACCATGTTTTAATAATAAATCTTTACACTCAGCTAAATACTCAGTACCTTTATCGGTTCTAAAAATATTAGGCCAAGAAAGAAGATTGTTAGGATCATCATAAATTTTTTTAATTGCTTTTGCAACAGTAGAAGCAGATTTATTAGTTAATGCATAGCTTTTTCGATATCTAGTAGCAACATCTTTTATTACAAGTCTATGTTTAAAAATTCTATTTCTGATTTTATCATGGGGCATAGGAGTAAGATCAGATTGATGCATTTCATTTAAATTTTGAATTCCATTAAAAGATGCATACTGAATAAAATGTGGTCGTGGTTTATGAATTTGATATAATGCTTGCTTATTTAGCCAATTTTTTATATCATTTAATGAAAAATTATAACCAGCTTTTTTACATGCATCTCGCATTTTTTCAGCAGTACGATAATAACCTTCAGGCTTATAATATACTTTCTGCAAAGCAATCTCCTTATCCAAATTATGGGCTTTTTGTGGATCAATATAAATCAAGGGTTTTTTCATTATACTATAGCAAATAAAAATGGAGGAATTGCAAAAAACTAACCAAGAACTCTATGAGGTAGTATCGCAATTAGCGGAATCAAATAGGAATTTCGAACAACGTCTATATACCTTAAAAAGGGTTATAGGTATACGTGAAGAAAGGATAAGATATCTTGAAGAAGAGTTAAATAATGCTATTGAACTCTCTACACAAGAGAAAGAAGAATTAATAGAAGAAATTTCAAAAT